AAGAAACCAAAAAGTTGATTGTTGGATAAATATATATGCCGCCGTGATATTATCTCTGATAGGTTTTCAAATGAACAAGGAAGCGATACATTTATTTTATTGATGCATCTGTTCCTTCACACTTTGAAAGATAGCGCAAGAGAGTGCCTAGGTTAATTACCCATCGCGAGCATTGTCTCTTCCACTATACGGTGTAGAAATTTATAATGAAATTCTTCCCCCTGATTCGAGTTCATTATATCAGGAATGAAATACATACTTTCAAGTAGAGAGATCTGAAGGGCTATCTAGAAGTGTGGGAAGATTCCAGCATATGTTTATCAAGTCTCCCATCCTTGACATTCCTAAACATGCCCAGGTCTAATTTTTCTATTCAGAATTACTTCTAGAATATCGTAACATGGCAAATGCTTCAGCAGATGGTTCGATAATGAAGATGAATATAGACGAGGCCCATTATCTTTATGAAAAATTGTAGAGAATCACGCTGTGTTGCCAACCAGCAAGGAGACTCCTAAGAAATAGTTGAGATTCACATCATTGATACAGTAACAGCACTAGCAGCCAAGATAAAGGTAATAACAAAGAAACTGAATAATCTATCTCATATAGTGACACATAGAATTCCAACCTACACTTTTGCAGGCTATGAGACAGATCATACCATCGCAAGTTGTCTTTTCTGCCTCCATACATGTAATCCAACCTGAAGAGGTTAGTCACGCACAAATTTTTTAGAGGCAACAGAATAACCCCCACTCCAGCGCTTACAATCTGAAGTGAAGGAATCATCCAAACTTCTCATAGACTAATAATCAAGGCCAAGAGAGAAAACAGCAATGATTCACAATCTTTATGAGACTGGAGAGGCAGCTAACAGGGGAGGGTTTGGATGCCACTTTAGCAATGACAATTGATAAGCATGTTTAAAATATACTTATCTAGGATGATAAATTGGAACATTTTGTATTGACTTTGAAGATTTACAAATTTCTTTTATGTAAATTTTGTTCATTAGATAAAACTCAATGCTAAACTAAACTCTACCTTGTATTGGATAAAGATACAATCGTTGGTTGTTTAGTTTTTAATTCGAAGACTAGTAATTTAGATTATTTTTGTTTTCTTGATTAATTTTGCATGAATATTCCATTGTTGATTGCTTGATCATCAATTTGACAATTCATTGCTTAGTGTACTAGGAGGTTCATATTAAGTTTAAAACACTACAAGTTTAGCACATGAGCAACACATGTTAGAAAAAATATGTATGGCAAGTGCAATCATATTTAATAATCATGTTTGTAAACGTATTACTTTGCATATAAATTCGAAATATGAATATGATCGAATCATTCTTGGAATATATTTAACTTACTTTGAAAGAGATAATTAAATAAAATTGAATTATCAATTTCATGAATGTATAAATTATACTAAACTATATAAGTTGAGAATTGGGAATCGAAACTAATGTGGGAAATGATTTTATTTTGCAAATATATAGAAAATATAACAAGGCCCACTTTTTCCACACCTGAGGCCAGTTTAACATGTCGTGCATGAATAAGCAAATGTACCGTACGTAGGCATGGACCAAATTTTGATAGATAGTGACACCTTTCATTAGTTGATACACACTCTTTTTAAAACCAAATTAGATGCATTTCTTGACCTAAATTCACCATATATGAACACATAACAAGGGCTAACCATTTAGAGATCTCTCTCTAGCCTCTCATAACACATCAAATCCCAAAACTCATCAAGAAGAATAGGCCAATTCATCATACTTTTGCTAATTACATCAAGATCTTGAAAATTTAGAGGTTGGAACTGAAAATCATTACTTCTAGTTCATCATTGTTCTTGTAATTTTATAGAAATCATGTTAGACTAAATTATTATTTTTATCAGATGTAGATTGATAACTTTATTTTATACACTAATTCGGGCCGCTCTTCTGGGGTACTTAGTAATAAAATATATAGAATATTGGCTTTTTCATTATGTTTTGTCTTTTTTTAGATTTACAATGATGAACACGGTGGAATTGTAGAAAAGGAGTGAAAAGGACCAAAGTGGAAAAGATCGAAAGGCTTCCTCAGAAGCTTAACATAAGTGTATGTGACCGCATAGGCTTCCTCAGATGCGGTCGTATCTATCAATACCAACGCAAAAATTGGGGACTTCACTTGTTCTATGTGGTCCCACCTCTACCTTCTATGCATCCACATAGAAGGTTCTCGACACAGAATTTTCAGCTTTCCTTATTCAACTGAAACTCATATGGAAAAAAAAACCTAGAGCTGCCAAAACGAAGGGATGGATACTCCAGCAAACTTGGAGGGAAAATTGAGAGATTTTATATAAAGGAACAAGAAATTCATTGTTTAAGATTGGAATTACATTGGATTGTTGAAGATTTCAAGATTCCTCCCTTGATTCTTTAAGTTGGGTGATGTTCTTCTCTATTTCTTTTCGTAATTTTATAGAAACATGTTAGGCTAGAATTTTATTGTATTGGATGGATGACAAAATTTTTTGATTCTTAGATTTTAATTCTAGACTGAGTCTTTAGCTTAATTCATGCATTGCAATTACATAAATATGCATAATTAAATTGTTCTAATGTTTGTGCATCATTAGTGCAATTGTTGCTTATTCGTAGTATTGAAAAACTCACGATAGGTAGAACATTATTTATGGAATACACGGGCAATAAATATTATGAATATTATTCATTTTTGTGCGATTGTGTGAGATAATCCTAAAAGTCAATGCATGTTTGTTATATGAATTCAGACTAGGAGTATGATCGTTTCGCGGTAAATATAGGTTATTATATCTTGAAAAGAATGGTAAATAAAAGTGAAATTATTGATTGTCACAATTGCATAAATTGAATTAATTGTCATAAGTTGAGAATCGGAATTAAGAATTGATTAGTGGAGTTGGAAATCCAATACATTCATTAAAATTTTATAAAAAAAAAAAATAGTATTTTTTTGGTAGTTATAAAACATAATAAATACAAATCAATCATCATTTATTACAATCACAAATTTAAATATATCAAACACACTAGAATTAAACTTTATTCCACATGGGACAATAACTTTTTCATCACGATTATTACTTGTACAACGAACCCATACACTTACGTGGTTTTTACGAACAAAGATGAAACCTTTATTTTTTTTCTTTATAATTCAAACACTAGTACTTTAGTATATTCTTGATTTTCTTGATTAATCATGCATTCTTTGTTGTATTACTTGATTGATTGGTCAAGAATTAGGTAATTAGTTACTTAATGTAGCGCTACAAGGTTCACAATAAGTTGAATTTTGTAAGATTCACATACAATAATAGAGGGTAGGACTAACGTGTATGGCATTCACAATCTTATCGATAATCGTGTATATGAATGCAGTACTTTGCACATGAACTCAAAATAGGAATACGACTGATCATGCTTAGAATATGTTTAACTTATCTCGAGAGAAATGGTTTGATATAATTGAATTATCGAGTGACAAGAACGCAAAAATGTCACTAACTACATAAATTGAGATCTGAGAATGGGAAAAATATAGGTGGATTTATAACGTAAATACATTCATTTATTAAAATCAAGCTTTTACATAATCAGTAGAATAAATTAGAATATGATAATAATTCATCTATTTTGTTTAATACATTCGAATTCAATTACAAACTAATAGAATTTGCTTTAAAACTCTTTCCCTATGACTTGATACTCTAAACTAACTAATTTATTACTGATCAACGTTATCTTATGCATATGGATTTCTTATGAACATATAACAGTGCAGATTGCAAAGCCCAATGATTTATTAGCTTCCATTACGATATAAGAAGTTTATAGTTTTCATACAATTCAATGTTTCTATGTAATTGGATGATGGGTAGGTATTTCTCTGAGTTTGGATGAAGTATGCAACCTAGTTTATTTGTGATTCTAATTATAATTTTATGTCATCTTTCAATCGTTGACTTAATTATTTTCCTTGAATATGACCAGTTTATAAATTATTGATGATTTTGTGAGTGGAATCGAGAGTCGAAATACCAATTTAGCACTAACAGTAAAATTCATGAATTTTTAATGTTGGAAATAAAGATATACTTCTATAATTTTTGCAGGTTTTATTTGAATTTCTTCTTGTTGATTGCAGTTGGTTAGGTTGAAATCCAACTAGAGATATGGTGAAGTTTACTAATTTAAGTAGATCCAATTTTACTCAATAGGAAATTCATTTTTATTTTTTAATTATTTATTTGCATTTGCGCCTTTTTTTCTTTTTTTTATTCTTCTTTTCTTCTTTTATTTAAAGATGAGGGTATATTCATTATTCACAAGGATTTATTGAGAAAATAAAAGAAAATGGGACATTCCACATTTCAAAGTTCATCCAGGGGTTTCCATCAATTTGAAAAGGTGGGATGATAATTGGCAAGACAATTTCATTTGTACCGAAAGGAATATACTGAAAGTTGTCCCCCTCTCAAAATGCACGCGGGCCCACGTGAATATAAAAATCCCCAAATGTGGTCCCCACCCCCTATTATGAGTAGTAGACAAAGAATTAAGTTAAAAAAAAAAAAAAAAACTATGTACATGTGGAATTGTCCTAATTGGCAATAGGTCCACATATTGGGGGTATTGCGCAAATAAGCCATCCGATAAAGCATCTAATATTCAAATTTTTTAAAATATTTGTACTGAGTCAAAATAAGGACACCACCTCTAAAATATGTTATTTATAAATACCTAAAAGATGAATCATTTATAAATTAAGAAAGCGTTATGCAAATAACTGTTAAAATATGTGAATTATTTGATCTCAATTAAAACATTTTTTTAATTTTAATAATTAAACTGAGTATTTCACAACAAAGTGACTCGTAAATAATGAATGAACTGATTTTATTTCTGTAAATATATAGAATATATGACAACGTTGTCAATTAGATTAAAGAACAACACCAGTTGCAACCCGTGCACCACTCCAGCCATCAACTTCTTCAAAAAGGGGCACCTGATTTCAATTATAAACAAAGCCAAGATTAGGATATTAACAGGCCATATTAAAAGTTTTCTATATTTATGTCCATAAATACCATACATAGTCATTGCGCAAGCGAGTATATTAACGAACCTTCAGGACAAAATTTTTCTCTTGAATCTAGTCATGTTGATTTTTGTTGTCACGTACATCCAATTTCCAATGTTATTCCAAAATTTGAAATAGGAATGTCTCCATGAATGCTTGAGGACTAGAGTACCAACAACTACCCAGAACCCAATAATAAAACCAAATATCATGCAGAAATAGAAATCTCGATTTATAAACCTATCATCTTCTTGAACAATATTGACCTTGCCATGATTAGTCACAGAAGGGTCATGAGGACACTCCGCCAATGGATCTCCACAGAGTTGATCATTCCCAATGTATGTAGATGAGTTGAAGCTTTGTAGTTGAGTGCTTAGTGGAATCTTCCCAGTTAAATTATTGTATGCTAAGTCCAAAAAACTAAGAAAATGTAGATTTGCAAGTCCACTCGGAATCTCCCCAGAAAGTTGATTTCGAGACAAGTCAAGCCATTCTAATGTGTCCAATTGACCAATGTTTGAAATGATATTCCCTGTTAAATGGTTTCTAGATAAGTTGATGAAAAGTAAACCTTTCAAATCAGAAAAGGCTTGAGGAATAGTTCCGACCAACTTATTGCTAGAAAGATCAATGCCTTTCATATTTTTTAGTCTTTTATATTCTGATTCTTGTCCTTTCCATTGAACCAAAGCATTGTCATCGTCTTCTATTTGTTGCCCTTCCAACCAAATGTTCCTATCAAGAATAGGTGAACCATCATTCTGAGCCAAAGAAGTAAAATTGTTTAAGCATCGGGGAATTTTTCCTGAAATGTTGTTCCTAGAAAGGTCCAAGACGTGAACGACAGTAAGGTAGCAGATTGTTAGAGGAATGGATCCATGAAAACTATTAAATCGAAGGTTAAGAACAGCCAAACCTCTTAGGTGTGTTCCTATCCATGCTGGAATTTTACCTGTTAACTTGTTTCCCCCCACATCTAACTTTTTCAACCGTTTGCAATTCTTCAAACAGGAACCCAATTCACCAGTGAAATTATTGTTACCCAAATGCAATATCGAAAGGAATCTCAGAGTGCTTAAACTGGGGGGAATTTTACCTGAGAGCTTATTATTTGCCAAATCAAGAACAGTTAGATCATGCATGTTCATCCAGCAACCAGGAAGCTCACCGTCTAATTGGTTATTCGAGAGAACAAGGGCTTGGACTGGGAGCCGCTCAGAAATTGTGCATAAGTTGGAAATGGATCCGGATAATAGGTTCTTAGAAAGTCTCAAGTTCGCTGAATGTCGAAAAACTGACAATGGAATTGGGCCTGATAGATTATTATAACTTAAATCCAGAATCTCATAAATAGACATGGTCAAATCAGGCATCCTACCACTAATATTATTGTGAGAGAGATCTAAATATTCCATAAAAGACCTATTCCACAACCAATTGGGTAATGTGTCGGATATACCAGCAAAAGAGAGAGAGAGTTCACTAAGAGAATTCTGTTTTTGAATCCAATTTGGAAAGTAAGGCCCCATATTACAATGACTGAGGCGTATTATTTCCAATTGGAATGTAGGAATCCAATCAATGCTCAAGTTGAAAGACACATTGTTGAAAGATAAAAAAGAGTTCCACTAAAGTTAAACATTGAATCAAATGTCGAAATGGAAGTGAGTTCATTGTGGGATAGATCAAGAGAAGAAAGTGAGAACAAAGAAGAATTTGCAAAGACATCAAATGCAGACGGAGGATCGCGGAGTTGACAGCCTGACAAGAACAATTCCTCGAGCGAAGAGAGCTTTGCTATTGGCTGTAACCAGTTGGTTACAACTCTGAGGTCAACACCACTCAAGTCGAGATAAGATAACGAAGAAATATCAGAAAGCCAATTAAGATTATCAATTGTCAAATTATTGTTTTTGAGGGTCAAATATTCCAAGTTCTGCAATTCTCGCAATGCTGGACTTATCTTACCTCTTAAATACATATAAGATAGATCGAGGTCGAATACGTGACCCGTGCTGGTACATTCCACGCCATACCAATTGCAGCATTCCCCTTTATCTTCTTCACTTCCCCGCGTTAACCCACTAAGATTACCTGAAAACTGGAGAAGAGCTTGTCTCTCTCTCTCTATGCACCTAATTTCAGCAGAAACCAATAGTTTCATGCACAGAAACAGTAGCAATTGCAGTATTTTGAGCTTCATTATTTTTTCTGACACTGATAAAAGATGCTTTGAGTTTTTGATTTGTTTGTGTTCATAGAACCATCATTTTATAATCTTAAGAAAGCATCAGACACGTATAGTGGAGGACCCCTTTGAAAAACCAAAATAATTGGATTGATTGAGCTTAGAGACATTAATTCCACAATGGAATCTTTTTTACGCATTAGACACGGTACATATTCAAGGTAGTTATAACAAAAAATAAAAAAGTTCCTTTAAGCTTACGAAAACCAGGTAAAAATTAGAATTTATTAGTAAAATAGATAATTAAAAATTTTGTATTAATTAATAAATAAATATATATATATATATATATATTAATGTCACAATACTAAAAAAATTACAGTCACAACTCACAAATTTTGTACATAGATCACAAATTATCAATTAATAGATAACTCAATCACAGATCACATATTTTATTAGTCACAACTTATTATCAAATTAATTGGCCACAGGTTATTTTTAGGTCACAAATTATCATATTACTTGAACACAACTTAACAAATTGTGAGTCATAATTACAAATTTAATCGTAATTTCACTTTTCTTGGCTGGAAATCCACATTTCATTTATCAATAGAAAAATGAGATATTTTTTAACATTGTGGATTTTAATATACTATACAATCAATTGAAGTGATGAATCAATTTTGCAACGAAAAGAATAGCAGTCAAGTTCTAGGTGACAGTAATTACCTTTATAGAGATACAAATCAATTAATGAAATTGAAGTTTCTTGAAAAAATGAATCTTAATTCACTAGTCGGGATGGCGAAATGAACCGGAGATTAATTCATCTATTGGGAGAAGTCACGAACGAGCCCTACGAACAAAATGGGAATGGGCTAGGGTTATGAAATCGTGATTTTTTGAAAGACGAAGACAAATAAGTTTGATAAAGATGAGGCCGGTATAAAAGATCTAATATCACTATTTTAGGGTTTGTTATTTCTTCGATGGGACCTTTAAAAAAATGGAAAAAAAATAGGAAAGAAAAAAGCCCCTTTATTTTAGAAATCACATATTGAACATAAATTGACCAAATAATTAATGTTCATAAAAATCCAAATAATTGATCATAAACTCTTCAATCCATCCCATAGAACACCATGCCACTTTACCATGGTTGCATGACCACCATCGCCATCGCACCACCACCACCAACCAAATACCTAGTTCCAAATCTAATCTACCAAATCACCCAATATCTAAACCCTACAATGTACATCAATCAAAATTTGCAAATATACATCCTCCAACACCTTAAATACACATCAGAAAACCAACACCATATCTACAACAGTGGCGCAGCATTATCACCGCTGCAACGACAGCGGCTGACACCACTGCAGTGATAGTGACCCTTACGCATAGTATCTCACGAAAGCATCAGACACGGTTTAGTGGAGGACTCCTTTGGAAAAACAAAATAACTTGGATTGGTTGGGCTTAGAGACATTAATTCCACAATGGAGTCTCTCACTTGCGCATTAGACACGGTAAAAGTGGAGGACCCCTTTGGAAAACAAAAATAAAACTGGGATTGGTTTAGCTTAAATATTATATTAATTTCACAATTAAGTAGTCACCTCACTAAATGTATCTATAGCTTTATTAACTTTGAAAACCCGGTAAAATTAGTCTGAAAAGCATTGATTGAAATTGAAGCCAATACAAGAAAGTTTTTAACATCTTTTGATATTGTGAGATGACACATAGACGTGTTTGACGCTTTCATATAGTTGACTCTAGTCAATGCCTTTTGGTGTAGATTCGGAAATTAATTATGTACACACAATTAAAAGATACTATTCTTAATTACCAAACTTTGGAGCAAGGTACTGCCATGAATTAAAAAAAAAATGTCTTTAAGATCAATAGTTTTTATAATGTCATGATCTTAATCTAGATTAGAAAACTATGTATTCAAGAGATCAAATAATTCACTATTAGTCATCATTGTGAAAAAATGGTTAATTTGAAAAAAAAAATAAAAAATCATTAAGTAGTCACCACGCCATAATTTGAAACGTATTTATAGCAGTATTGAAAAATAAAAAATCATTAAGTAGTCACCACGCCATAATTTGAAACGTATTTATAGCACTATTGACTTGAAGAACCCATTATATTAGTCTTGGAAACATCAATTGAAATTAATGCCAAAACAATTACTCTTTTGACACGTTTTGGTATTGTGAGATGACACATAAAAGTCTTTGGTGCTATCATATAGTTGATTCTAGTCAATACTTTTTGGTAGAGACGGGGAAATTACGTATACACGGTGAAAAGACAGTATTCTTAATTACCAAACATTGCAACAAGGGACTGCCATGAATAAAAAATATATATATATATTTAAGATGGACTCTCTATGCACCTAATTTCAGCAGAAACCAATAGTTTCATGCACTGAAACAGTACCAATTGCAGTGTTTTGAGCTCCATTATTTTATCTGACACTGATAAAAGATGCTTTAAGTTTTTGAGTTTTTTGTGTTCATAGAACCATCATTTATAATCTTACGAAAGCATCAGACACGGCACAGTGGAGGAGCCCTTTGGAAAACAAAAATAATTGGGATTGGTTGAGCATAGAGAGATTAATTCCACAACGGAATCTTCTGTACGCATTAGACACGGTACAAGAACGTCTTTAATACGTTATGTTATTGTGAGATGACACGTGAAAGTCTTTTGTACTGTTGTATAGTTGAGTCTAGTCAAAGTCTTTTGTTAAATACGAGAAAATTACGTACAAACGGTGAAGAGACGCTATTCTTAATTATCATACTTTGTAGCAAGGGATTGCCATGAATCAAAAAATGTCTTTAAGACAATATTTTTTATAATGTCAGATTCATCTAAATTAGAAAACTATATATTCAACAGACCAATTAATTCACTATAAATTATCACGTTATAATAGCGTATATATAAAAAATATGGTTACTTTGAAAAATATAAATGGAAGATAGAAAGTTCGAAAGAAATTGCCGAGTTTACTTAGGCTACATGACATGGTTCAATTCAATGCAAACAAAAAATTTGGATACATATATAAGACATGAAAAGCTGGGTACTGTTCGTGCGAAACCTGCAAATGTACGGGATCGTTAACAAGAAATAAATTTAGTGAGTTGAGAGTATCGTCCTACTAGAAATAAAATTTAATCGAGTATATTAGTATTTAATTAGATTCAAAGTAAATAAACAAAAGTGATTTGTGATTTTTAATTAATCTAACTTAATTTATGAAAGCTTGCAAAATGCAAAATTAGAATGTTTAAGGAATGTGTGTATTAGATTACGAATTCACCTATTACTATCTATTCCAATTCTTGACTATGTAGCTAGTTTAGGTCTTGCGTTCTTGACAATCGATAATTCTATTAACCCTGAGAGGTAGCTCAGTAGTCCTTGGATTTTCTCTCCAATGGTCACTAATTCGAGCTCCTCTCATAACTACTGAGATGAGGATTCAACTGCAAACTTCAGGGCCCCATTAGATTAGTCGAGGTGTACGTAGACTAGTCTTGACACCTACGGTTATCAAAAATAAAACAATCGATAATGCTATTGTAATTATTATTTTTTTTCCAAGACAAATTAAATATATTCTAGTGGCGGCCCAAATCTATTCCAAGACAAATTATATCTATTCTAGTCAAGGACATCAACAAAAATCGGTGGAACGTGATTAATTCCACAAATTTTCTCAACTTTGCGTGTGTATGTAAAATCTTTTGTTTCTAGAGTTTGAAGTTACTCCTTCGAAACCAATCCGACAGAATCACCTGAATGTAAGAAATGATCAACAGGATCCAAAATTTAATTCGAGCCCACCGACATCACAATATTTCCTTAAAACGAATTTGCTGTCTTCAATGGTCCTAAAGGTGTCCAGCAATCGTTTCTTAGGATAGAACAAATTTTCATCTCTTACGGAAGCAGCACTGCAATCTGCAGGAGTTCTAATGAACTCAACGAAGTGTGTTTTACTTCGAGACAATATTAAAACGAGAGAGAGGGGAATGAGATTCAAAGCACAGAAAGTTTGCAATGAAAATGGTGTAAATTTTCTGGTAGAGAGATAGGCTATTTATAGACTTTTTCGTGGCCATTCGAATAGTTGTCACCTTTCAGACAAACCTCAAAAACCCAGAACATACATGTTGTTCTAAAAGTCGCATCTGTTAAGTTGGTTAACAATCAACTGTTTGTTCGGTTAACAGACGACTGTTAAACAATCCATCCAAACCAAAAAATCACCCGAAATAAGCCAAAAATTCATAGTGT